CTAAAGAATGCCGCGCAAACTTTGCAGCGCTTCATCGACCAAGTTTGTCGCGGCTTAGACTTCGCTTACGCGTATCACGATGACATTTTAATCGCAAGATCCTCACGAGAAGAGCACATACGCCACGTACGAACACTTTTTGGTCGTTTATCTCAACACGGGGTGACGATAAACGCAGAAAAGTGTTCGTTTGGTGTCGATTCAGTCAACTTCCTCGGCCATCGTATCTCCTCTGCAGGCGTCATGCCACTGCAGAATAAAATTCAGGCCATCATCGACTTCCCCGAGCCTCATTCTCTCAAACAGCTCAGGCGTTTTGATGGGCTTGGCAACTTTTACCGATGGTTCATACCCAACTGTGCCTCGCTGATGCAACCCCTCACGGACCTTCTCCGAGGGAAACTCAAGAAATTCGAATTTCCTGCCTCAGCGCGCGCTGCTTTTAGGTCGCTGAAAGAGTCCATCGCCAACATTGCTTCTATGGCGCATCACGATCCGGCCGCCCCACTGTCCCTCAGTACTGACGCCTCGGACGTGGCAGTCGGCGCTGTTTTGCAGCAACGAGTAGCGGACACGTGGCAACCCTTAGCGATTTTCTCCAAACGCCTACAACCTACCGAATCTCGCTACAGCACGTTCGGTAGAGAACTACTAGCCGTATATCTAGCGATACGTCACTTTCGACACGTCCTAGAAGGTCGCTCCTTTGTCGTCTTCACCGACCACAAACCCATGACTTACGTGCTCGGCTCGACTACCGACCGACACTCTCCTAGAGAGTCGCGCCACCTTGACTATATCGCTCAGTTTACGACCAATATACGGCATGTCTCAGGTGTGCACAACGCCGTCGTTGATGCACTTTCTCGCATCTAAGCTATCTTCACTGACGCCGGCACAGCTATCGACTTGGCAGCCATGGCCACAGCGCAAATCAACGACCCTGAGGTTGATCTACTACGCAGGTCTCCCCCATGGGACATGCGACCCGTTCCGCTGACGTCATCAGACGACACTATACTCTGCGATTTATCTCTGGGCACGCCACACCCAGTCGTCCCACGCGAGTTTCGGCAGACTGTGTACGACACGTTGCACGGCTTATCTCATCCAGACGTTCGTGCATCGGTTAAACTTGTAACTGCATGATTCGTTTGGCGCAACGTTAATCAAAACGTCCGTACTTGGGCGGCTGCTTGCCTTCTATGTCAACGCGCGAAGGTGCACAAGCACACGAGAAGCTCATTAGGCACGTTTCCGACGCCAGACGCACGTTTTCATCACGTACACTTGGACCTCGTAGGTCCTCTGCAGCCTTCGAAAGGCTCTGTGTATCTGCTGACCTGTGTCGATCGATTCACTAGGTGGCTGGTAGCCATTCCCATACCCAACTGCTCTTCGGAAACAGTAGCGAAAGCTTTTCTGGAGCGCTGGGTAGCTCAATACGGCTGTCCCGCCATCATGACCATTGGTCAAGGGTCACATTTCTCGTCAACATTTGCCACGTTGCTTAAGGATTCAGGCTGTCGCCACGTTCAGACGACAGCATATCATCCGGCCGCTAACGGCATGGTGGAGCGTTTTCACCGCCAGTTGAAGGCAGCATTACGTGGCACGCAGATCCTTCATGGTCTGAAACACTGCCACTCGTTCTCCTAGGCTTAAGAAACATAGTTAAAACCGATTTCGACGCCATACCAGCGCAGCTAGTCTACGGTTGCACGCTGCGGTTGCCCGGACGGCTGGTAGCACCAGCCCCATGTACTTCCACTTTTGACTACGGAAGTTACACTGATCGATTAGCTCACCAGATGCTTGAGCTACGTTCACCCGCTTCTCCATCGCATAAGACACCAGTGTACGTGCCCGAAAAGCTGTCTACGTATTCACACGTCCTTCTTCGCGCAGACGGTGTTTGACAGCCTCTTCAGCCGCCGTATATAGGACCCTTCAAGGTGCTGCATCTTGCGAGTAAGGCGTACACTACTGACCGCAAAGGTCGACACGAAGTCGAATCATCGACCGTCTAAAACCCGCCTTTATGGAAGAAAGCCCCTCGCCTACTTCGTCTAGTAGTGCTTCGTGCGACGTCAAAACGCATCGCATCAGCTTACAGAAAGCTAGTGCAGTTCAACGAGACCACGATTACGGTCTATAAGCTTTAGCCGTCCCAACATCTCCCGAATCTAGCCCGCTGCCTCCCACGACCAATCGCCGTGGTCAGGAGGTGCGTAGGCCCGTTCGTTTTTCCGACTATGTACAGTGTAAATACGTTTAGCTTTGTAGATATTGCATATATTTGCCCCATTTTTGGTCGATTAACGTTTTGAAAACAAACAAAAATATCGAAAACCTCCGAAAAACCTTTATCAAAAAATATTCAAAAGCCAAAACATTTAAACACGCAGATCATTCGTTTGTCCTTTTTGCGTTTTCTGCGCGTGTTGTTCTATTTTCTCGCCTCTACATGCCCCAACCCTCCCCATCGATCGACTGGCCCACACGAGGAGTGTTTTCGAGGACCCTGACGCGGACACTGGTCGTTTCTCTGCGGGATGACGGTTGCTTCTCCGCGGGACACGGGTCGCTTCTCCGTGGGACCATGGTCGTTTCTTCTTGGGACGATGGTCGTTTTGGCACGAGGCGGGGTGCGGCGGGGGGAGAGACCAATCCCCAGCGCACTGTTTGGCAGCAGCGGAGGTTGAGGTCCTGTCGGCCTTTTTCTGGACTATCCAGTTTTTTGTAGTCCGACAAGCCCGCTCCAACGGCCCGCCGAAATGCACCCTGCCCTGCAATCAATAAATAACAAATCACAAACGGCACAGCGGACTCCGACTTCCGGCGAACCCCCACTTACACGAACGCTCCCTCATTTTTACTCGGCACGATTTTGCCTTACGAACCTTGATTCAACAGTCCTTTTTCGAAATCGAAGTCATTCTATGTTCAGCCTTCTAGGGGGGAGCTCTGTAGCGCCCAAAAAGATGACTCTTATCTTTCATGTACAGTTTACTTGTTGACCGGTTGTACATTATTCCTTCTTGCTTTAATCGTCCTTACAACCGGCTTGACACTCGATAGACTTGTAAGTTCCCGCGCTCACGTGTTCGCTCTCTCCTCGCTTCATCCGTCCGCTTCTTATTGTAGCCCATCGAATACAGTCCGCTGTGTCCGGTTCCAATTGCCTTCTGATATCCGCGCCTTATTTCGCGCACCGTCGAGGACTAGTATTATCTAGTCCTACACCTTGTGTTGTGAATTTATGTCACTCTCCTTCGGGCTCATCGTTTCTCTCCAACTACGTTCATACAACTCTTGCTCAATATATCGCTTTTACATTTTAAATTGTTTACTGTATTTTTTGTTTTGCACAGATAAGTAGAGGAACTTTGCACGCCTTGACCATCATGGTATTATAGAGAAGATTTTGTATTTCGTTTTTGGATTTTTATTTCATTCATTTTACCTTTTATAGATCCTTTGTTTTTTCACCCATATGTATGATAAATTTAATTAGGCAAAAGCACCTTTCTTCGCATCGGAGCGATTATTCTTCACGTTGTGAGGTTAGCAAATGCGTACTCTCAGTAGTTACCCTGTGGTTTGACACAGTTGTCCTCAGTTTACTCAGTCCTATACTTTTAGGACAAACGTAGGATCTTTGCTTTATGTTTTCCCTATAATGTGGTTTTTCTCTACAACTTCAGCTTTTTAGCTGCAGGTATGCTTCTAGATTGTCCTGAAATTATATGTTGCTCCACTTATAGTGCTATATCTAAGCTTATCATCCATGTATTTTGCGGGAAAGTTGGGAATATTTAAGGCTTTGGCAGTTGTATGCAATTTATTTGCAGGTTTTACACTTACATACGTATCCCGCAAGCATGCGTGGTTGTCAATTACTTTATTGCACTTCAGTTGAATTTGAAGTGGTCTGACCCTTGCTTACGGTATTTTAACGGGACGCTCCGCTCAGACTATTCCACACTACTTAGTCTTATCAAATTGCCTTGCCTCCGCGGTAGACTTTTAAAGTTGCACGAAGAGCGCTGTAAAGGGTCTCGGACGGAAACACCTTTGTTGCAACAAGGTATTAATTACATATGCTCGATAGCAAAACATATAAAACTATCTAAAGTTAAGGATGTCCCGCGTCAAATAACTGCACACGGAAAGTAATAGTAAACCTTCACTTTTCGTAAACGAATTAGATATTCAAAAACATTCATCTATTTATACGGTTCTTATCGTACCCTGGCATCATAACAATTCCTTGACATTTTCCATCCTGCATTCTGACTCAAATATTCACTCGTTTTTGCTACAAATAACTGGCCCGGCAATGACTAATGGGCAGGATGCCAAGTAAAGTCAACAATACGCTTTCTGCACACACGAAGAGTGATAATTTATCCAAAATAACGGTTTGGCCCAGAGGTTTTGCGGTTTAAATATTAGTGTTACTAGAAGTTCTACCACTCTCTATAAATACTTGGTTCAATGATTTTGTACTCACTGGATTACGCTAAATGTTCGCTCAATACTGTTCCTAAACTTGGAGTGTCGGCCAGCATTTAGGGTTCAGAGCAATACATAGGAACGAGTAGGTTTCAACTACAAAATAGGCTTCCAGCTAAATGGCGTTTATGTGTTGCATTGCCATGCATTAAATATGTAACGTTTCTTATCTGCATCATGAACGGATCAAAATTCCATTATGATTTAATAGTAAAAGGAAAAAGACATAATTTCCCTAAAATCCTTTTTAAAAAATAAATCAAGACTTTAGTTAGACCTATTAAATGAAGTACCCAATTAAGCCCTTGTAATGCGACGATAATTAGGCTAAGTCGTTTACCATCATTTTACAATTTGTAGAGTAGATGTTTCTCAAGTGCATTATCATCAAACCGACATGTACCGTAAACATATAAAATAATATATTGCTTAAAGCTTAACATGCGCAAGTGGCGGAAAACTAAGATATAGCAACCCATTACCAATTGTATTCCATTGAATGCGCGCCGTTTGGCGCTAAGTTTTCAAGGTCAATTTAAAACGTTAAACACCTAAAGAGACGGTTAACATTTACTATTTGTGTGCTTTATTTACCACCTATTTGATATTCTTCAAATTGTTGTTCAGTTCCTGTGAAACAAAGCTTCTTATACCTCTACTAATCCGTATGGGTTATGTTACGCATACAGGATGGTTGTAGTGCACCGGAAAACACGTTCTTTCGGTATTTTACAACCTTGGATTTCACGGTTGTTTAACCCTCAAAGCCTCCATTTGTATTACTGACGGCACTTCGCCTGACACAAATTGTTTTGGTAAGTACCATGCTACACCGTTATTCGCTCTGGTTGATTCGGCTCCTATTTATGTAGCCGGCACAATACACGTTGGGTTCAGTCGCCTCGAACTTCTATACTGTCTCGTATCTGGCGCAGCTCTCACGTGTCATTGATTACCGACTAGTAGCCCATGCGCCGCTCAACAATTGAGGATCCCGGTCCAGAACACGCCGTCCGACATTCTGAATTTTCATTCTGGTGAGCTCGTTCCAAAGGCTTTGTGATTCATTTCTATTGTTCGTATTGTTTTCTCACCTAACACTTTTTATCTGCTTTTTGCAATGGAGTATCTAGAGGATGGGCCATCACCATATGCGGGTAACGCCGTTGAAACTGTCATGGCCAATTCTGTTGGGTCAGACCCTCCAACTATATGGGATAAGGATCATTTGTTAAGATTTTGCACCAAGAATCGGTTTTTTAAGTTCGTAGGATTTCTTCTGATGTCTTCATGTATAAGCAGCTAATATTTTTCTTTCCTCAGAGTCTATCCTTCTGCAGCGAATAGTTAGTGATCTGCAACTAGGAGATAGGCCGCCCTTAGTCTCGTTCCGCGAAAATCTGCATCCCATCGGCACGTCCAACATGGACGTAGGGATTCTCCCCCAAATGTGGATGCAAGGCATTCCTGAAAGCACTCATGCTATCGTTGCAGAAGCAAGTGACGTGCCAAACAGAGCAATTGCATACATAAAAAATATGACGATATTCTGCAAAAAATGACGTACCTAAAAAGCTGTTATCATTACTTTCGGCATGTTTGCATTTCTAAAAATGCCACTTGGACTGTGCAACGCCGCACAAACCTTCCAATGCTTCATCCATGATGTCACATTTGGCCTAGACTTCGCTTATTCCTACCTCGATGATATTTTAGTGGCCAGTTCATCGGAACAAGAGCACCTCGAGCATCTTCGAACTCTCTTCCAGCGCTTGACCCAGCACGGTTTCACAGTCAACGCGACTAAGTGTGAACTCAGCAAACCAACGGTAGAATTCCTAGGCCACCTCGTTTCATCGTCTGGTATCGAAGTCCTTCCTGATAAGCTCCAGGCAATCAAGGACTTCCCAGCTCCAACTTCATTCAAACACCTCCGTCGATTTTGTGGTTTCGTCAACTACTATCGATGCTTCATTCCGCGCTGCGCTTAGCTCATGCAGCCTCTGACTGAACTACACAGTGGGAATGAACGTAATTTCGCTTTCCCCGACACAGCACAGACAGACTTCGCCGAGCTCAAGGATGCTATCTCCAACATAGCCCTCCTCGCTCATTCTTAATCGACTGCGCCCCTTTATATTACGACTGATGCCTCAGACGTCGCGGTAGGAGTGGCTCTCCAACAACAAGTTGATAGGCAATGGCAACCCCTTGGATTCTTCTCCAAGCATCTGCAGCCAGCGGAATCCCGCTACAGCACGTTTGGCAGAGAACTGCTAACCATGGTTCACTTCCGGCACACACTCGAAAACCTCGCTTTCACGGACTGTACTGACTAAAAGCCCCTCATCTTCGCCTTTAACTCCGCTTGCGACAAATATTCACCACAGGAAACAAAACATCTAGTGTTTGTCACGCAGTTCACTGCTGACATATGTCATGTCTCACATGTCGACAATCCCGTGGCCGACGTTCTATCACGTGTCAACCTACTCCCTAGTCTTCGCCTACAGTCGACCTTGCCGCAATGGCATCTGCTCAGGCTCAGGAGGAAGACATACAGCGCACTCTGCAGTCTACTTCGCTGCATATGCAACCTGTTCCTCTCCAAACGACGGAAAGAACCATTCTCTCTGTGACACTTCCACAAGTTTTTCTAAACCCCTCCTGCCCATCTCCTTCAGACGCACAGCCTTTGCCGCAGTTCACGCACTATCACATCCCAGTATCCGTGCACCCTTGGGACTGGTCACCGAAGGATTTGTTTGGGCATGCGTAAACAAAGACCTTCGTACCTGGGCTCGCGCCTGCCTTCAACGCCAGCACTCCAAAGTACGCGTCACACTCGTAGGCCTCTTGGTTTATTTCCTGCCCCGGACTCTCGGTTCTTGCATGTACACGTAGACCTGGTAGATCCATTGCCTCCTTCACGCGGATTCGTAAACATGCTTACATGTGTCGACCGCTTCACCAGATAGCCAGAAGCCATTCCCGTACCCGACTGCACAGCGGAGACTGTTACCCGGACCTGCTTAGACCGGTGGGTCTCGCAATACGGATGCCCATCCGCCAATACAACAGACCGAGGAACGCCTTCCGAAGATTCACAATTCGATACATTCTGCAACGTTTTAGGCTCTCGCCACATTCACACCACAGTGTATCACCCAGCAGCCAACGGTTTAGTTGAACGCCATCATGGGCAGCTTAAAGCCTCGCTCTGCATCTCCTTCAACCCTTGCTGGAGCGAAAACGTTTCGCTCGTAATCTTAGGCGTTCGCAGCAGCATCAAAGCTGACTTGCAATGTGCACCAACAGAGCTGGTTTACGGCACAACGCTAAAGTTGCCAGGAGAATTCGGTTCACCTCCCGCATCGCCGGGTATGCCTCCGCCTAACTTTGCCTCCTCCCCAGCTCAACGTATGCGTTCACTACCCCCGACTCCGCCCCGTGAACAGACTAGAGATTTGCAACTTCACGGCGGACTCTCTACCTGCACTCACGCCTTCCTCCGCACCGACGCAGTGCGGCGCCCCATCAAGCCTCTATACACTGGCCCTATCAGAGTCCTGCAACGGACTCCGAAACATGTTACTTTAGCCCAGGATGTTCTCCAACCAACGGTGTACATCGACCGCCTTAAAGTGGCTCTCTTTGAGGAACCACTTGCAGCCCATCATGATGCTATAACATAAGCACCCGCGCCTGCGGTGACTTCCCGAGCACTGGATATCCCGAACCCCTCTGTTCCCCTTTACCCTCAACCTACCCCACCTCAAGCCCAGACAACCGACCGAGGCGGTAGACACGTCAAACGTCCGGTCCATTTTTCAGATTTTGTAAACATTTGCCATTTACATTGACACGCCTTTTTCCTCTTTAGTGGTAATCGTACGTCGCATCCTCAAACGTTTTGCAAAATCGTTAAAAGAAACCCAAAACATTTTGTAAACTTAAAGCGTACTGGCTTTATCTTGTATGCCATTTACCCTCTCCGGCGTCAAGCCACGTCCCTCGACCTTGCCCACTCTCTCTGAGTTCTACCTTCCAGAAACTCAACCATCGGAACTGCCCAGGCAATCTTCGATTGACTCGCCAACCGCCTCAACTCAACCCCATCTTGACTTGACAGCCGACCCAAGGACTCCTTCCTAACCCAAGGAACTGTCAGTCGTCCTCGGCCGCAGACAGCTACAAACGGGTTGGTCCAAAAGCGCCTGACTAGATGTTGCTGACGGGGACGGCGGTTTTCTTCGTGGGACAAAGACGCTCGTATTTGTTCGTGGGACGAAGACGCCCGCATTTCTACCTGAGACTACGCCCGAATTTTTTCTTGGGACAAGGACCATGGACTGGAGTACCGTAATGGGTAATAACACCTCCCAAGCGCACGGTGATGTCTACAGTGGAGGGAATGTCCTGTCGACCATTTTTCTGGACCAACGAGTTTTGTTTGCAGTCCAACCAGCCCCCCCCCCCGACGGCCGACAGATGATACACCCTGGTCCACCTGCTCATCATAAATAATAATTAACAAAAGCCTGTACTTAACAAACGCTGCTACACACCCCCTTTTGGAAGCCTTTGTACAAGCTCATTCAACTATTCGCACAGAGCCTCACCTCCAGTTTTCCCACACTGTTAGCTCCATCGAACGCTTCCATCATTCAGCCTTTTAGGGGAAGATCCTTGTAGAGTACCGAGAAACACGTTCTTTCGGTATTTTACAACCTTGGATTTCACGGTTGTTTTAACCTTCGAAACCTCAACTTGTTTTACTGACCGCGTATCGGTTGACACAAATTGTTTTGGTGATTAACATGATGCACCGTCATTCGCTCTGGTTGATTCGGCTCCTATTTTTGTTGCCTACACAATAAACGTTGGGTTCAGTCGCCACGAACTTCTATACTGTCCCGTATTTGACGCGGCTCTCACGTGTCATTGATTACCGACTAGTATCCCAGACGCCACCCAACATGGTTTAAGTCTTGTGTTCTTTGAGTTGTAGGGGGCAGCATAAGGGTTTCTTGTTAGCCCCATCATCAACTCAGCACTAGAAGCATATATGTCGTCGCGGCCTGGTAGTCCTCAGGGAACCGGAGCAGTCGCAGTAAGTCAGATCGTTGCAATTGTTTGCAGAGCTGAAATGGTAGCGACAATTACCAGTAAGACTAACCATATATATTGAGCACTCAGAAGTGAACGTTATCAAACGCTACGTGTATTGACGAGCTACAAAGTACTGGAAGTCAATTAGCGGAGCACGAAGCGATGAACCGCACGACTCACAGGGCAATCGAAAGTGAACTCCCAGTACTTCAGTAAAACAAATGAACGGCCTGAAGTTACAAAAAGGATAAAGCATTGCTGTGAAATGCTGCACGTGTACCTGCTTCACGTACACTTCAGTGGTTTTCCCCTAAACGCTAACAATAGATGTTAGTTGGGGGCGGATTTGAAGAATAAGGGGTTAAGTACAGATAGAAGGCGTCCGAATGTATAAACTGAGCTTGGGATCTTCTCTGGGTG